CGATGTTTTGGTTGAATGATTATGAAATGGTTCGTTCGTGTGATAGATACATCATTAGATCAGTCGAAGTGTTTTCCTTGTAGTTCCGTTTCAGTAAATTTCTGCATCGTTATTTTAGATGATGCGACAAGTGAACGATTTTGCTGGAATGTTTGGAATTGAGGTTGATGACTCTTACCAATCTGTTCCCGAGTTCTTGAAAACTTTCATTGTATGGAATGAAACTATCCGTTGGCATCGCAATGATGAGTCAGTTCTCGAATTATATTGAAAGCAGCAGTTTTCCAAAAGAAGGATATTTTCAGTGACATTACTGTGACATCTTTAATGCATCAATATGAAATTGAACGTCTTAACTGACCGTTGGTAAAGCAAATGAGAGATTAATCTTCTAAGCTTCACTTGCTTCCCAACAGACATACTCGTCTGTCGTGAATCTTTAAATGACTGATTGGCATCAGTAAACTGTAGTTTGCCAACCTGTCAAGTCATAATTTGAGTTTGACGATTTGCTCAATCATATCAGGATGCTTTTCATTTTCAGTGGCAGGGTGAACGTGACAGCATTTTATTTCATAACTGGTTATTGCAATACAACATCTTGGTGGGATCGTGCTGAAATGATGCTAACGTAAGTATTCACTCAATTTTATCCAATGTCATATTGATAAGTCGTACTCAGTCCATTGGGTGGTTGGTATTATGTTTGAAGGTTAATCTTACAGCCTCAGAACATATCTGAATCTGAACTCTGAATTCTGTAAGATCACAGAATGTTGTGTGCACCACTGCAAATGTTTTAGATGGCGTGAAGCTGCGAGTCGTTGGAAACAGTTCAATGTGACCATCTATTCGGAGAACTCGCCAGTTTTCGAGGGTATTTTCGGCCTCAAAGGTACTACCGTCCAAACGGCAACCATCACTTTGGTTTGTATGCTCGCCGTTTGCATTCTGTTCGTACCGTCTACTGCTGGGGTGCTTACGGCTGGCTGGGCGATTTGTTCGATTAGTCTTGGTGAATTTTTGTACATTTCTTTTCGACTTTCATCTCTATTCGAACGAAACCAGATGGATGACCCTAGTCGTTTATACTTTACAAATGCAAGATCATATCCGTCTAATCGTATAGAATTTCACTCATTTCCTTCGTGTTCATATTGCCAGAGGGTTGTTAGTCACGTTCAACCGCCATCTATTTTTCAGGTGTGTTCGGATTTTTGTCATGGTGGGGTTTGGACCTCGATCCGGTGACGATGTCCGCAATCGTTATGTCGATCGGTTTCTCGGTTGACTACACGGCACATGTCTCGTATCATTATCAGCGGGCACGTCAGTTGCTACCAATGTGAGATTGTGATTCTATATTGTACGAACTGAGTGAACGAAAAACGGATAGTCTGAATTTCATGAAGGGATAGTGTCTTTCAAAAACTGATTATTCTACTTTGATATTGATTATTCTATAATATCTAAACTTGAAGATCGAGTTCGAAATGCGATCGTTTGGTGCATACACTTGATTCAATCGGATGGCCAATGATACAAGCTGCAATCTCGACACTGGTCTGCTTCTTGCCGGTGGCATTCCATCGCGACTACACACCGTCAGTGTTCGTTCGCACAATAACGCTGGTAGTTGGATGGGGTCTTCTGCATGGACTCGTCCTGCTGCCCGCAATTCTAGCATTTATACCAGATTGTTTGTTCAGCAAACTGGATCGAAAGTATGTCGTCG